ATTATACAATTCTGGTAAATATAAATATGACTGTACAGCCTATGAAGATGATTTCGTCAATTAAGAAAATTTTCTTCACTGAATTTGTCTTTTATTTTCTTCATAACCCAATGGGTATTTTCGGTGATATGTAGTTTTTTACATAAAACGGTTTTACAAATCAAGTGGTTATTTTACTTAATCAGTTCAAGGTATGGTGAGGGTGTGGGGTGAAATTAGGAGGTTAATATGATTTCCTCATTAGCTGACACTGGTTCGAGAACCACTGGAAAACCTGGGAGTAATGGACAGTTGTTTCGTCCTAGTTTAGCACTCTTCATAAGTACACACCCACACCGCCTAGGTTTGAACACAGGACCTTCTGGTTACAAGGCTAGAGAGCTCCTAGACCGTTAAATCAGTGGTACTCGATTCAATGGCAAGTCCAAGAATTCCAACTCCTGCCAGTTCACGACATAGCGCGACCACTAACCAATGTCTTCGGCAAGCATTTGTCCTCACACCCAACCTGCTGCACGCTACTGGTCACGACTTCTCACTAGAACCCAGGTAACTACTTACATGAATAGGGCCAGTTGATAGTGAGCATCTCATCGATATTCAATTATTGGTTTGTAGGGATCTGATGGAGAAATGATAATGAAATCCTGTAACCAATCAATCAAATCCCTACAAACTAATACTTGAATAAGAGGTTTGAAGTCATCAAAACAATTAACTAATAGGTGTTAGTAACAAGATATCTATACCTAAAACAGTCAAAGTTGTTAATAATCGTCAAAAAAGCGTTAAATAAGTGTATTGGAGTTACGTAACAAGATGAATAATTCAATGAACGAGTTGTAATCAAGGTACACATAGAAAGGAAGGAAAATATGGAATTATGTAAGGGTTCTAAAGAAATACAAGAGTTATAAGGAGTTAGAAAAACAAACGCAGGAACAAAAATCAAGTCAGTAGAAATCAACAAGATTGTTACCATGATAAAAGAAGAAGTTGAGTATTCCTCTTACTTATGCATAATCCTGATTTATCTAACTGAATAGTTGCAGCTTCATCAATGCAAAGGAGACAAAGGTGTATTGCTTCTGGTAGATTATTCTTCACTTTGTAGATTACTTTCAAGCAGGAGGCGTTTGTTGAGATGGGATGACCACTGTTGAAAAGGTCTTCGATTATCGCACTCATCAATAACTCACCACTTTTGTTATGTATAAATGCGACTGTACAGCTAAAGAAAATGAATTCGTCAGAAAAAGCCTATTCGCCTAACTACATGTTTTGTTTTCATTAATGTCTGGGCGGGGATTATTCAGGAATTGTTTTTATTTAGTAGATATTTTTATTATGGATACACAGTAACTTCAGCCTTGAAGGAACTCACGTCCCTTCTGAGATTCGAACCCGCGTCACCCAGGGCTGCAGTCAGAGACGTTAACAATGAGCTACTTGGGCTTGCGATTGACCTCCTGTAGGACTGTAGTGGATACTCTGATTGGACACTAGTAACTAATGTTATGCGTCTAGTCCTTTCTTTGGTGCAGACTGAATTCTGTCCGTCAGGTTTGCATCAAATCATCAAATCAATGTGTACCGTGATGGCGAGCTTCCTATATTGGTGGCCACATTGCAAACCTGACTGATAGAATTCAGTCTGCATCAAAGAAAGGCCTAGACACATTTTACTAGTTACTAGTGTCCAATCAAAGTGCACGGCGTCGGTGGCATAGCGGTTAGGACGCTCGCCGACCATGAACATGGTCCGGGGTTCGATCCCCGAACGACGCACTCCTTTACCTCACTAAGCCAGAAATAATGCTGGTGAAGAGGAAAAGTTGGGCATGAGGCTAGCAACCCTATCCTGTAAAATCAACAGTGCTACAGAAACTTCAAGCCACAAGCTTGAAGCCCTATGTTCCGCTGGGGAACGTGAAGGAAAAAAAATCAAAGTACACGCTTACTTCCTCAGATATTACAGAAAGTTTAAGTGCCATCGATGTAAGAGTTTATAAGTTCACAAAAGCATATTTCTTTCACCATTATAATACGTTCGTGGTGTATGCTACTCATAGGATTTATCAGTAGTATATATAGAGACATCCACTGGCATAAAAACATCAAATATCAGGAAGATAGACTGCACGCCACAGAAAGCAAATGATACAGCCTTGCAGAGATACACGGGAGACGTGAAAAGAACCTCAAAGAAACACAGTATGAAGGCCAGAAGTAGCACAACACGGAAGGTCTGTGCAAATGGTTTTTGAAGATAAGGTGTACATAATATGACCATATAGAGATACCAACACTCTGATATTCTTCGATTACACTGTCAAACTTCACTTAAAACATTTCTGGGTGAAAAAACCTACGTTTCTAAGTCCTTTTCGAATGGCTCTCGAATTCAGCTCTAATTGCAGCTCAAAGAAGAAAGGTGATCAAGGTATTTGATTCAAAAGTTATTATCATCTCTACCAAAAGTGCCATCTGATTTGTTGATATCGTTTTCAACCTAACCTATATACAGAAAAAAGAATAGTATGACTGACCTCGCATTACTGTGATGACTGGATCTGGGCAAAGTTAAACTTTCGACACCACTAACAACCAATCAACAAGCGGCCTTGAACGGACCAATCACATTAAGGAGGCATGTATGATAAATGGTAACGTATATTTTTAGAAAAAAGTATAAAAAAGCATAGAACGGTTACAGGCTGTATCTTTCCCTAACATGTGAGAGGAACATCTCCCAGTTAAGCATCGAACTCTCAATAGAAAAGTTACACCACATTCTGTACATGTGTTCAACTAAATGATTATAAATGAGATCCCTTTGACAGACATTTATAGCCCTTATCCTACTTTTAACCGGCCCCAAAATCCTTCAATAGAATTTGTATGAGTCCTCGTAACGGGATCCACAAAATCATTTGAATGGTTGACTCTCTGATGAATGTATCCCAGAGATGACAGGGAATTGTAACCTTTCCATTCGTCCGTGTGTATTATTGATCCTCGTTTTACAAGTCTCCATGAATCCTTTTCTCAGGGACTTGTCGTATAAACCTATTACCCAAATATTGTTCGCTCACTGGCGACCACGGTTGTATTTCTTTTACACCAACACAGTCTCATCCAAGTGCACAACAACGTCTTCTCCACCCAACAAAGAATTGATTTTCTCCATTTTCCAAGAGGTAATATCTCTGCAATGCCGGTACCATTGAACTGTTGAGATGAGGCTATTCTCCGTCTCCGTAGCTGCGGCTCTCACTAGCTGTTTCAATACGCAGTAGTTGCAGATATAAAAAATTTGCGTCAAGGAGAGGAGTGACCTTGCAAAAAAAGTTCCTACGAAATATTAAAATTATCAGCTTGCCCTCTCTAATGCTCACTCGCTTCAAGCATATTGCACAACAATGGAAAAATCCATCAGTTGACCTGCTATAGCTTTTTAAAGTCATGACACCACCACACGAACAAGTTCGCTCCTTCCGGAGCAACCCTAAATCCAGGCAATACTGGAAAACACTGTCCTCCTCGAATTACAACCGTAACCTTGTTAGGGCACGCATTTGAAATGAATCAAGCGCTATACAACATTGAACTAACGTTTGTGAATCTCATTGGATAATTCGACGTCGTTCGCTGATTGGTAGTTAGTGGTGTTTAAAGTTTAACTTGGCCAAATAATCAATTAAAGAAAAACGATATACTATAGTCGTAAGAGTTATGTAAGTTTTCATTAACATCCAAGGTTGGGACATTTTGTGTCGTCTTACTTCTGAATCTCAGGATAGATTTTGACACAGAATAGTAGCATTTAGAGAATATTTTTAAAAAAAACAGGAGGCGCTGAACAGACGCTTTTTTCCTAGTCTGTGACTCTTCAGCGGCGCGTACCTATAACCACACCACTACTTTGTTTCATAGATTACAAACTGTGGAAGATTACTATTCACTTACAAGCTTGTATTCCAATGACAGGTGAATTCTAACTCATGTCAACTCGCAGCATATTGCCATCACTATCCAAAGAATTTGAAAGACGCTCTATTGAAATTAACATTAGACGGTTGTAGGCAATCAACGTAAATTTCAGCAACTTGATCTCTCATTTATTGCAAGTCATTATCAAGGCGGTTTTGAGCAGTGATTTCACCCTATGAGGTTTAAATTTACTTCACCCAATTCTGTAGTCAAAGAATTCGCCACTGAACTATGCAGTAGTGAAGTTTCATTCAACTGTGATGAAGATCTACAGAGACCTAGACACTCATAAACAATTAATTAATTAATTGGTGGATGGTGACTAGCAGTGGAATCCAGGATAGCGCGCATTTCGTCCTATTTGGGACTCGTTGGTATCTGAATGTACCTGCATTCCCCAGTGAGTCAGTGATGGTGTTCCCACCGAGGTTCGAACCCAGTGCCCATAGTTTCAAACACCAAAACGTTATCCACTAGACCACTTGGGCCACGAGAGCCACCTCTTGTGCAACGGGTCAGATTAATTATTTAACTGAATGCAGGTAAATCCAGCCGGAGGACGAGTCCCAGGCAGGATGAAATGCGCATCCTGGATTCCACTGCTAGTCACCATCCACCAGTTAAATTCTAATTACATGCCCAGACATCGTCGAAGCATCTGCACAAGAAGCCGACAGACATGTCAACCTGAGACCGAGCACTTCGGTCCAATCAATCGACGGGAAAATCTAAAATTCATTTACATAATTAATTAATTAGGTGAATCCAGGATAAATGCAGGCGTCTGCTATTTGAGACATAATGTTATTGTCCTTTCGACCTACACTTTTTAACTGGCGGTTGGATTATCAGAGGTAGTATTGGACACACGGTGAAAGGATGAGTGGAGGCGAAATGAAAATCTCGGTCACGGTAAAACCGAGACCAGAAGAGGTTATTCGGATTATTGGCCCCTGACGCTCTACTTACATTTTTAAATAACAACTTAACAATGAATAAATCGTATGCTAAAAACAATTTATAATGTACAATCACACTTCAAGTGTACAGAAAATGCTGAGTTCTGGGTAGTTTTTTTTTTCCTGAATTTTGTTTTGTTGTTTTCAACACTCTTATACCTTCTTTTTGTTCATTTTGCTTCAGTTAAATGAGCGGATCAACTTTATGGTGGGATAATTTTATGCTTAAATTTGTTGTATCAGTTAAACTTGATCCACTAGCTGCTACAGCGATTCCAGCTCGTCCACTTGGTAATGGAGCTGCCTAAAAGAAAGGTAAAATCAAAGCGATAAAAGTGTAACTGAACAATTGTTAACCATGAATGCTTCAATAATTAGAAGTTGAATAATGTATAAAATTTTAAACAACTAAGGAGTTACCTGATGTTATTTTGATTTATGGTAACTAGAAAAGGAATCTAAGTTGCACGTTTCATCCTTTTTAGGACACTTCATCTGGATGAACCTGCATCCAAAGTGAGTAATGACGTTCCCACTGATACTCTAACCCGGCACTCATCATTTCAGACGTCAAGTTAATATCGACTAGGCGATTAGGCCGTGAGTATCTCGGTGGAAACATATACCACTCAGCGGGGATACAGGTACATCCAATTGACGAGTCTGAAACAAGATGGAATGTACATCGTGAATTCCACTGCTAGTCACCATTATCCAAAATAACATTATGTTGATCTTTAGACATCGTCAAAGAGTCCGTACTAAAAAACTGACAAGTCAACAAATACCGGCTATTTTGGACTAACGTAATCAATCAGCGGCAGTGAAAATCAACTGAAACAATGAGTAATCTGTTTTCTCAAAAATTAGATTCAAAGGTAATGAAAGATCTAGAAAAAAACTGAACGCAGAATAAATGACACGCTTTAAAAGAACTTGCCTCCAGTTACCAGATCAGTCATGTTTTACTGGATAAATTGTTCATTGAGACAATCTAAGATCCTCAAGTCCTTCTTTCATGTTTTATGAGAAATCTCTCGTCATCTGGTAGACAGATGGCATCTATGAAATTTTTTTTAATTCCTTCATCTTCCCAGTGGAACATAGGGCTTCGAGCTAGAGGTTTGAAGTTTCTGTAGCAGTGGTGTTTATTTTTTTACGGGATGGGGTTGCTAGCCTCATGCCAAACCTTGCCTCTTTACTAGTCCTATTGTTGGCTTAGCGAGGTAAAGGAGGAGTGCGTCTGTGGCTGGGGATTGAACCCCAGACTACATGGTTGGTTGGCGAGCATTCTACCGCTGTGCCACCAACGCACGCTATTTCATATACCTCAGTTTAATTTTTCGTCATCTTTACAGTTGATCTGAATAGCTCATTCTCTCGTCAACTTATTTTTATCTTAATCACAACATTCGATCATCAAAGTGCATAACTGTTATTTAGCATGTGTTACTTATTATTTTATTAACATCTCTAATCAATGTCCAACTTCTCTTTCTGATTCCGAAAATTCTTGTAACTTTTTTTTATAGAAAAGGCACACTGAAACTTGTAGTCCATCTCACTCAACTCTTCACGTATTCTATTGGTCAATATTGGTGGCTGTCATCTTCTAACTGATTAATTAATTACAGTATGCGGATGTTTTGCATACTGACATTGAGATATGGAAGATATTATTACTACTAGTCAAATCAGAGGATAATAAATAATGTTAAAATGTATTTCAATTCACGTACATTATAAAATTCTAACAGGCTACTTATTTATTTTAGATATGATGGAGAAGATTTGTAGCTCAGGTGGATGATTTTGATGTGGTTGTGTTCTCTGAGCTAGCTGGATGGTTTATTTGCGAAGCTTTCACTGCCCTACTTTCTAGGCAACATCGTCAGCGCACACTGAAATTTGTTGAAGTGAGCTTTTAGATTTCTCCACGAGTTTATCAGTCATCTCTCCTGGTGAGTGACCTCCAGCGTCAGGATTGGTTGTTTTGTGTGTTTTCACACACTCTAGGCTACTTGTATTGGTATTGGTGTTGATTGTTTCCTTGACTTGAACTTTCACCCTTTGTGTGTGAGATTTCCTTCTTATCGGTTGGTAAATTTTTTGTTGTCTATTGATTGACGATTCACTGGAATACCAGGCAGGCTTCTAAAAATTCTTTGGCTAGCATTCTTGGTGTTTCCTCTGTCTAATATTTGAACGTTGGTTGTCCCAGTCAAATTGATGTCCGTGGTTGTCTGTATGCAGCGAGTGATATGAGGGGGTGTATGTCATGTCTTTTGACGACTAGTTAGTTTGTGTTCATGGGTATGAAGACGAAGGGGATGTCCACTTTGACCAATGTAGTGTTTTTCGCAGTTGTTACAATTTATTTTGCAGATGATGTTGGCTTTATCTTCTTTCGTTGTTGATTCTTTTGGTTGACACAGTGGCTAGCTGTCTGAGTGAAGTGATTTTGTTGGTTTGTGTGTGACATCATTTCCTAAAGGTTTGAAGAGTCTTACAGTGATTTCTGAGATGTCCTTTATATATAGTAGGTCGATTTTCTTTGTGCTTTCCTTGAGGGCCTTTGATTTGATAGGTTGGTGGCTTGTGGGTATATGTCTTTTGATGAAGTTCTTCCGTGGATATCCATTCTTTTGAAAGACGTCCATGAGATATATTTCTTCAATCTTCCTTCTTGAGGGAGTTTTGCAATAAGTCCTGGCCGTTTATTTTACTGTAAAAACATCTTATTTTCCATCCTTCTGTATTGTATTAATAACACGAAATTATTTCCGAATAAACTTAATCTCATATTGATTTTATTTAATCAAATGTCTAATCATCAATTTTTAATCATGTATGTAAATGAAGCAAGGAAGTTTTGTGAGTAATGCCTTGATACGAGATTATGAGCAGTAATAAATTGTGCTCGAAGCGTGTGGTCATCAGTAGTAAATATTACTGCATAAAACTACACTGTGTGCTTTTATGAAAATAAAATTTTATCCGTAATGGAGTTATACTCTACCACCACAGTGTTCAAGTTTTATCCTTATATCAATGAGACTGTTTTAGGTTGCCTGTAATTGACAAGATTCAACAGAATAAGATGAAATCATGTTCAGGTAGGTAGTTACCTGGGTTCTAGTGGGAAATCGTGACCAGTAGGGTGCAGCAGGTCGGGTGTGAGGATAAATACTCGCCGAAGGCATTGGCTAGCGGTCGCACTATGTCGTGAATGGCCTGAGGTTAGAATTCATGGGCTGGCCATTGGATCGGGTCTCAGGGGCTTAGTGGTCTAGGAGCTCTCTAGCCTTGTAACCAGAAGGTCATGGGTTCAAACCTCGGCGGTGTGGGTGTGCACTAAGGCAGAGCGGTAAACTAGGACAAAACAGCTGTCCAGTACTCCCAGGTTTTCCAGCAGTTCTATTTCCGATGAAATCCTGTAAAAATTCATTACCCCCTGCTTCTTAGTAAGTAATAGTACTCCTCCCCTGAATTATTATTTCTGGTAATATCAAAGCTTCTGTTCAGAGAGCCTATATACTGAACTGAGGCAGATAATTCAACCGGAAATCAGAATAAATAACTCCATATATATATATACCTCTCACTCAATAGGGATTCAGGGATATTAAAAAACGGTTTATTCTAATCAGCTTACTTCGGTCCACTTGTTTTCTTCTGGATCGTATACTTCTACACGATCTGTATAAGCTTGTCCATCGTATCCACCTAAAGCATAAAGTTTATAACCAAGTGGAGCAACAGCAATTGAATCTCTTGGCGAGGATAAAGCAGATACTTCTGTCCACATATCTGTGTGCGGTTCATACATTTCAACACTAGCTGTTCTTAATGCATGCGGTTGATTAGGTGGTGCATTGTGTCCACCAACAGCATATAAGCGTCCACCGACAGCACCGACACCAACTCCACCTCGTCGATGTAGCATAGGAGCAATAAAACACCAGTGTTGAGTATGTGGATTAAATCTTTCTACAGTTCGAAGACAAGCACTGCCATCTCTACCACCGACAGCGTATAATCTATATAAAGTACGAAAGAATAAATTTACCAGTTGATAAAATCTTAAAAGTAACTGATGCAAACTAAAAGATGCTGACGATCGTGGATATTTTAGCTAACTTTCTAATTACTAGCGGTTTTTTACTCCTAACCTGTATAGGATTGTTTTGACTTTTACATACCTCCTTCTAACTTAATCCTTATCAGTTGTCTTCATTTTATCTCTAATTTTGGGCTTATCCATTTAATGTGGTTGTGTTCTCTGGATTGGTTGATTTAATTGAGAAGCTTTCATTGTCTTCCTAGACAGCATATTCAGCGCAAACTTTAATATAAGGTGAATTTGTTTGAATTCTTCATGAGTGACATTATTCTGTCACTCCTGACAACCATTGTTGTGGTCGCTCTGTGGCGAGAGCTGTCTGCTAGCCAAATTAGTAGACAGCGATTTACGTCTCAAATCTTGGTCATGAGAAAAAAAACAAGAACAAAGACTAACTGAACAACCAATCACAGCAGACTTTGCGTGGGTGGAAATGATTCGCAGATATATGGTCTGACTTTCAAAGAAATGGCCACAAAGAGATGATAGAAAACAACCAATCAGAAGACGCTGTTTCTTTGTTACTAATAACGAATAATAATGCACATAAAAATATGTAAATATCTGTTGATTTCCTAACCCTTGTCATCTGTCGTTAGAGCTTTACATTAGAGCTTGCGCTGAAGATGATGTCTAGAAAGACTATGAAAGCTTGCTAAGTGAATCAACCAGCTCAGAGAGCACAAATAAATCAAAATCATCCACCTGAACTATAAATCTTCTCTGTTACTTCGGGGCTTATCTTTGTTATGGTGAAATGATGTTTTCAGTGTATTGTTATAGGTCTTTCATTTTGTTTGAGCGAAATCAGGATTACACTGTAAATAGTCGGCTTGATCCTTGACTGTCTGTGGGAAGGGTGTTCTGTTCTGTTTGATTCTTTCAGACAGACTTTCGATCTCGGCTAGTTGTGCATATTCTTAATGATTTTCAGGTTATTTAATATTTTGCTTTGTCAGTTAGTTTTCTTGTGCAATACGATTTTTGAGTGTAAAGATGCCGGACAGCATTACTGAGGTAGTTTCGTATTGTTCATGTGTTATTCTGGCTGAATAGCCGTTCCTGTATTCAAAATATTATATTCAAGTGTCGGTTTACAAAGATTTGATTGGTTTCAGAATTTCATCATAAAATGTCGTCAGTCAGACGACAATAAAAAGACTTGGGAGTGCTGGACAGTTGTTGAAATCCTCAAAATGACCAAATCCCTACAAACGAATACTTGAATATCAATCTGACGCCTAGTAGCGGCTGGCCGTAATCAGGCAGGTGGTCACCTGCAGCTCTAATGAAAAGTCATGACCATTGGGGTACAGCAGGTCGGGCGTGAGGACGAATACTCGTCATCATTGATATTCACTAGTGATCGCGCTATATTGTGAAATGGCAGGAGTTGGGGCCAAAGTTCAACAATAGCGTCCTGGGAATGCGAACGCTCCAAAGACCTAGAACGCATGCTAGTCGTTGGCTAAGGGCACCTGTCATTTTGATAGCTGAAATATCAACGCTATTCACCAACTAAGGAGCAAATTTTACTCACATCACGTTTTTAAGTACTGTTTGGACAATGTGTTAATAGATCGTTAGGGTGAGGATTAGGGTTAAGGTAAGTTTTGGGGTTGGGGTTAGGATCAGTATCATAATTAGCATTATGGTTAGCTTTACGGTTAGCATAAGGGTTGTAATTAGGCTTAGTGTTATTTTTAGGGTTACGGTCAGGATTAAGGTTAGAGTTAATGTCATTCATTCTAATTTGTTTTATTATCCACATTTTCCTGGTAAGTAGTCGTCGATCCTCTTACTGGAAACCATAGTAACTCAACCGAGGGGTCTTTGGGAAGACTGCACAACAGAATAAGAGAGATAATTAGTTCACAAAAACAGCTCATCTTCAGTCACCTCAGTGAATACATGTACAGAAACTAGTTTAACTTAGCAACTGATACTCCTCATTATAACTGGGATGTATTTTTAAGCCATGTCAGAGAAAGATACCCTGTTTAATGTGTTTTCATGCATTTTCTTGTAAATATACATCATTTTTTATGCGAAAGTAACTTATTATAATGACTGGTCGGCTGAAGGTCACTCATGCGTTCGCATCCTTTGGGACGCTGTTGTTGAACTTTGCCGGAGTTGGAATTCATGGGCTAGCCGTTGGATTGAGTGCCGGTGGCTTAATGGTCTACGGGCTCGTTTACCTGGAAGGTACTGGGTTCGAACCTGGAGGAATGAGTGCATATTGATGAGGAGTCTCAAACTAGGACGAAACATCGGACTGTTATGCTTGAGTTTTGGTGGTTACAGATGATAATCTGCTTCTTTCTTTTACTCAGAAGTGAAAGTCTTCAACGAGAATTCATTTACCACCACATTTTATATATATTTAGAGCTAGTGAAGTAATACCAAGAAAAATAGTGTTGCAGTTTGTGACATTACACAATGTCCTACGGTTTCGTTTTCCTTCACGTTCCCCAGTGGAACATAGGGTTTCAAGCCAGCGGCTTGAAGTTTCTGTAGCAGTGTCTGTTATACAAGATGGGGTTGCTAGCCTCGTGCCCAACCTTTCCTCTTTACCAGAATTATTTCTGGCTTAGCGAGAAAAAGGAGTGTGTCAAGCGGGGATCGAATCCCGGACCATGTGCATGGCTGGCGAGCGTCCTATTGTAATCACACTATGAAAAGAAGCTGGTTATATGGACAAAATGTCCAATATCAGTTCTAGGAAAAACAGTAAATTCAAGTGAGCAAGAAAATCAGTAAATCGTCCGTAACAACCAAAAACGCTAAAGTTTGTTGAGAGACACAGTTGTTCAACTCACAGGAGAAGGCTTACTTCATATTGAAGCCGAAATAAAAAAAATAAGGGAATTAGTGCATTTCATTGCTTTGGTGGATCACTGGTAGAAGACCCCCGACCACCTGCATGGTCCAGAGTAAGCCCGGTTCAAAGACAAGATTGGGCGTGAAACGAGCAACCCGCCTCTCCCCCCCCGCCGTATAAAATAAAGACCTCTATCACTGAAACTTCAAAGCACTAGTCTGAAGCCTTGTGTTCCGCTGGGAACGCAAAACACAAAATAAAATTGATAGTAAATTTCAAATTAAAAATCGTTTATAAATAAATTTTATTAGTTACCGTGATTATTTCTTTTGTCCTAGTTTCGACTTATCTTAAATAACCCTCCAAAGTCGAATTATTTAAGTTGAATTTTTACTTATGATTTCGCACTGCTGGAAGTGCTTCTATTGCTAGGGGTGGAGATATAGTTCGGCCAATCGCAGCAGGTTCGAAACCGTCTCCACCTACTTCATCCTGGGTAACTTAGTATTATCACCAATGGCTGCTGGCCTGGCACATGAAAAGTTTGACTGCAGCTGCGGAGCCAGCTACACTGGGCGTACAATTAGGCAGTTTCATCGTCGTATTTCTGAACATCATCCAGCGTGGTTAAGCAAGGGACAAATATAATCTATTCGTAGTTCTATTTTAGCACACCTTGTTGATACTGAGCACAAGGTCGATGTGAATACTGCATTTAAAATTATTTATCGTATTCCAACTAATCTTAACTTTGCTCTAAGATTTCGTCTTTTACAGACAGCTGAAGCAATTGGAATCCACCAGAAGAAACCAAGCCTATGTGTACAAAAGAAATTTGTACAGCCACTTTGCTTACCGTGGCCATCGTTACAAGACAGAACCACGTCGCCCCCCTCCCCTATTAAATTATAATTGTCCAAATTATTTTTATTTTTATTTTGACTTCTTCTTTAATTACGTGTTATTCTTGTAAAATTAAATTAAATCGTCTCTGTGCATCAGAGAAAGCTCTCTTTACAATATATCTTATTCGACAGCTTTATTATACTGAAAACTTGCACAATGCTTACCGACTAAATATTTATGCAGTTCAATTTTCACTAAAGTTATAGAAGGACTTGAATGACTGTAGGATTTAATAACTACAACAACTTACAATCCATCTAGAACAGCGACACCAACTGTACTGCGTTGAACAGCCATTGGAGTGACAGGGGACCAAGCTTTAGCTTTACCATTCCATCGTTCTACAGTATTTAAATAAGACCATCCATCATGTCCGCCGACTGCATAGACAACGCCTTCTAAAACGGCTACACCAAGGCCATGTCTTCAACAATTTGAAAAGTTAGAAAAAAAGTCAATATATATACACATTAATGTAAAGAATATAAGTAAATGTTATACATACATGAATGGATATTCATCCTAATTTGAACGAAATATTCTCATATTGAGTCATAAGAAAAAGGCACAAACAGCGAAGAAAATTTTCTTTTCGACGGTTCATTTTCATAAGCTGTACAATCGCAATTATAATTAACAAAGAAATCTTTAGACCGATAAGATACTGATAAATTTTGTCCTTGGAAAATTGTATTACATAATGTAAGGTGTAAGAAGGGATGACTAATTTTAAGTTGGAAAGGAGACAGAAGTTGGCATGACGTAATAAGTGTGAGATAGTGAATAATCAATAATCTCGTGTAAAATGGACAGGAACTAGTGGAAAGGCTATAAAGTGTTTTTGTATAAAATATGTATGAAAAACAATGTTATTAATAAACAGTAATATAGTGGTAATAAAATGTGGATGATGGGGACAAAATGATAATAAAAGTATTAATAAAATAAAATAATAATGGTAATAATAGTGAACTTACATAATAAAGGGAAGAAGCGAAATTGTGATAAGAACTTTACTCTGGCCATGGTAAGGCAAGAGAATGTATGTATCGCTTTTGAATGCGGAGGTCCGGTTTTAGATCTCGAATAGCTAATGCTTCAGCTATGTACAGATGGCGAAGTCCCTTTGTACGATATTGAGAGACTCTGTGTAACACTGTCAAGCATTCATGTGGGGTGCTCGATGTCCAGAGATGACAAGGTGTTCGAGGATCGAGCTGTTGCTATTCTTCTTTTCTCCTCTGGATAACCAAGCTGGACAGTGTTCCAGAATACGTTTGTGGTCTTGACGTTGCGTACGGCCAATATACTTTGTTCCACACCAGCAAGTAAATTGAAAAATACACATTGAGGTGGCCAGAAGCGGTATCTTGTCCTTAGCGTTAGACTGGATTAACTGTCTGCAGGAGAATGTGATACGCAGAGTGGCTTTTGGGAATGTCTTCTTCAGACATTTAGAAAGGCGGTTTCTGAGAATTTCCGCTGCGATATCACCTTTGGATTCCGGGTTCATGAGGAGAGTTTTCTTAGGAACCGTTGCGATGTTTCATACCGGAGGCTTCTCCTTCATGCTTTTGTCAATAAATCTTGGTAGATACCCGTTCTCTAGTTGGGTTTTACGTAATAAATTTAATTCTTTCTCTACCATGTCTTCCGAGCAGATTTTCCTAATCCTTGAGCACAACGTACGTACCAGGTTCCTCTTTCGAATTAGTGGGACAAAGCTCTGGAAGTTGATAAACTATCCAGTCCATGTTGCCTTGCGGTATATTGATCTTTGGATCGTAAAGTCGTGTCGTCTGGTGAGTAGTACATCAAGGAATGGAAATGCGTTGTTCGATTCTCGTTCTAATTTGACGTTTTTCTATCCATCGTTGCAGCCAATAATCATCTACTCTTTAATTCTTTAACTTCTTTCTTTGCAGTGTATACTAAAGCCCATCAATCAACAGCGGCAACAGCCAGCACCAATCACCATCAACGGGAGAGATTTATCAGATCTTACCTCCTTCACTTATCTGGTCAGGAAGCATCGTTTCAACTACAGGCGGAAAGGACGAAGATTTCAAAGCTAGGCAGAATCAGAAAGGCGAGATACGCTTTTACCAACCTGAAACCGGTTCGGAAATCTTCAGCACTCAGCATAAAGAACAAGATTCGCATTTATAACACAGGTCAGAAATATGGTGGGCGCATCACGACAGAGATTTCCAACAGGTTGCAGACTTTCATCAACAGCTGCCTTCGCTGGCTCCATACTGAAGATCAAATGGCCAGTCAGAAAGAATAAGCAACAAGAAACTATGGGAAAAAACCAACAGGCGAGAGCCGATTGCTCAACAAACATGTAAGAGAAAATGGAAATGGATCAGGCAGACAGTGAGGAGGCCGCCGAATGACATCGCACGCCAGGCCATTACTCGAGTGGAATCTAAGTAGGAAGCAATGAGTTGGTTGTGTTTGCGTTGGTGTGGAGGAGATGTGGCCACGTAGCGTCCTTCAAAATTTGAAAGTAGCTTTCTCAGTTATCGCGGACCCCAAGCGGCATACTTTTGTTCGTAAGGATTCAACTGGTATGTAACTTCAAATAGCTGACACGCCTTAATTTGCTTCTGTCTGGCTTACCCATTGGGAGCACTTAGTTATTCTTATAGATTTCGTATAGCTTTTTTTCGCTTATTTGTCTATCGGTTTATATTTCAACGTTGCTGCCACGGCCAGGTTTTATGCCACATCGGAAGCCTTGATTTATTCCCATAAATCAGTTAGAGCAATAATTCTGTGGATGTCCCTAGGATAGAGGTTCATTGAACTAGCAATACAAATGACACCTCTGTCTTCCAATTGCATCTATTTTGCTACCAGCCAGTCTGTTTGTGTATGACTGTTACTTTCTATCAAACTTTTAGTCTTGAGGTGATACAGTATCATTCTTATCGTCTTTGCAGTTAATTTCCTCAGCTGACTCCTATATTCGACATTCTCAAAACACGAACACTTCTTTGATAGCATCTTCTTCGGTACACCGTGATCTACAAGAATTTATTCAATTACTACCTCAGTTACAGTCTAAGCTCATTGGTGTGGAATCCCTGCTGGAGTCATCCAAATCATAGTATGCTTTGATTTAACTAGCATATGTTACTTTCCACTCGACGTTTCAGGGAAGAGGCCTATTAAGTCTCCTGACCATAAATTTCCCAATGGATATTAAAAGGAATCAATTGTAGGTGTGATCGAATGCTTCTATCACCCAGCCTAAACCACATGATAAATCGGCAAAGTTAAAGCTTAAGCACCACTAACTACCAATCAGCGAATTATCTGGAACCCATCAATCACTTGAACAAGGCATTCATGTGTATGGAATACATATATTTATGAAAAAGTTGCATAAAAGCTGTATAAGAGTGTTACAGAGGATACTTTCCT